TGAATTTTGAATTTTCATCATTCATTCGCTGTGCATTTTTTTGTCACCGATGATAAATTCTCAACAACGTTATGTCAATCATTCGTAACGGATCTTACTCTTACTACGATTAGAATCTAAAAAGATTCGATATTCATCGAGCGAATACAGGAGTTTTTAAAACAGGTTGCGATAAATTCTAAAAATGATTGGGAGTGATCGAAGTGAGAAAATCTTGAAGGGATCGTTCAAGAAGCTGAGGTAAGGCATCCTTATTTATCTATATTTTAAAAAAGAATTTTTAAATATTTATATTTATACAATTTATCACAACCATCTTAAAATCTCTTATATTATTTCTCTACTTCGTAAAATCTTTCGACTCGTCTACACTAATGTAACACTTTTTTTGTATAAAACGTGTTTACAAAAAACAGGGCAGTCGGGAAAAGCACTGGTAACAGGTAAACGCCTCCAAGTAACAAGTCAAACCGAAAAGACATTGTACTCTCGAACGAAAGTGTAAAAAAGCGCGCACACGTGTGATGCGCGTATCAGAATATTCTGTATACGTTATAATATCAATATATGTCTCTCCTTCTCTCCCTCTTTCTTCTCTCTCTCTCTCTCTCTCTCGCGCGCGCTTTAGTTAACATTCGATATCTGTTATTGGCACAAAATTGTACTAGTAATATGGAAACACCTGCGGGGCTAGGATCGTCGATGAAGTTCCACATCCGTGGCGGATTCGAGAAACGTAACAATTCTCCATCCAACTCTCGTGTGTGGAACTTCATCGATGCAGCAAGTAATTCTATGTATCGTTATTTATACATTGTAAAATTAACCTACATCGCAATAGGAATGTGTATAAGAAGAACATGGTGGAAAAAATATGGTTTCCACGACGAAGTAGCATTATTTTCATCGAAAAAAAAAAAAAAAAAAAAATAAGGCCGCGAATCGTGTTGCACGAGCTGGACACGACACGCGGTCACCGGCTATTTCATAGTTTTTTTCCTTTTCGTTCCTTTTCTTTTTCCTCGATTACGAAAAATCCATTTTACCTACTATAATCGAACATTAGATCGTTCAGTCTTTTGGTAAATTGCAGCGTCCACGAAAGTGGCAACGCGTCTCTCTGGTCGGTGAAGGTTAAACGATTAATAAATTTTACACATAGAATCTCATCGTTGATAGCCGAGGAGAAAGGAATTTTTTGTCTCGTTTATCTATGGATATTACAACGATACGATTGCTTTCGAAGATATATGAATTTTTTGTTGGATTGTATACCCGTATTCAGTGTCGATGGATATATTATAAAAATTAGAACGAAACTTATTAACATGTTCGCTGCCATCAAGGAAATATTAAGGTGGCATGCGCCACCTATTTCTAGTTTTGTAAAGCATCAATATACGTACATGCTCACATCTCAACAATCTCCGACGCGCATGTAATACGATACTAAATTACATTGTCATTGTGTGAATCGTTGTGATGTAGCATATAGTATAGTTTGTGTATATCTATCAGCAATGCTTCGACAGTAAATGTGTTGAAGAGTGACATCGATATTTCTTTTGTAACTATGAATATCTAATGGTAATTGATTCTTATTGAAGTAATATATCAAAGCATTACCGAAACATTGTCGAAATGTCGTCGAAATATTATCGAAACACATACGGAATATCATATACACAAGTGAATAGTTTCGACAGTGGCAGCGAATATGTTGAATCACTCGTGTCGTCAAAATATAACAAACGAAATACGTTCATGCTATAGTTATCATACAAATTTTACTACATATATATATCGCATTCAAAAGAACACTAGTCTCGACAAGGTTAATATATATATATAAAAAAAAAGTGCATCGATAAATTGGAAATTGTCGTCGTCCAGTTTCTAATATAAACGGATCCCGGCATCTGGGTTTCGAATAGGTTAAAAAAGTCTCTTTTAGAAAACGGAAGAGAAAAAATCAGTTAGACGTCCGCCTGTCGAGGACACTGTTGGTAAAAAAAAAAACAATATAAAAATACAGTTATGTAGGATGCCACTCCGTTCTTTTATACAATAATTAATTATATTCGCAGACTTTTTCTTTATACGTTGATTATTGGTGACGATATTTCTCTTTCTCTTCTTTTTCTGATTTTCTCTTAATGCGCGATCGTCTACTGTTCTTCCATTTCTTCCTCTTCGTTTCCTCTTCTCCAGTTCCGTTTTTCTTGTATATCATCATTCTTCGATATCTCGGCTCAAATCTTCGCGATTTAACTTTTTAAAATCGTCCACGCAGCTCCGTCGCAGCAAGTTTAACGCCTTAATATTTTTTTTTTTCCTTTTTTTTTTATTCAACATTACCGACGAATTCAACGAATCATGTTTAGAACCACGACAAGATGGTCGCTAAACATTAGTTTTTAGTTTTTTTTTTTTNTTTTTTTTTATTTTTTTTTTTTAACTTTT